AGCACAGCTATTACACTTCCAACATTTAATGCAACTTCAGTAGAATTAAATTACAGGTGAGAACATTTTATTCTTCTATTCCTAAATTAAGAACATGCCATTCTCTTACTCCCATTATATGAATTCTAATTCTGCTAAGCATTTTAATTGGAAACAATTAATGTTTCCCAACTCATGGCCCTGGAAGATGTGAACCAACATTTTCAAGATATTCAAGCATTCCAGATTTCTTGCTGCTTCATGTAGGATATTCAAGACTTGCCAGAACAGACATAACAGTTTGGGAAAAACTTTGCTACCATAACTCTTCAGATACAACAGGAGTTTTATAAGACAAAGGATATATTATTCCCATAAGATTCTGATTATCAAAGTAACAGGTAAAAAGACCTGTTGTATTTTTGTGGCTCTCTAATCCCTTGGAAGATCTATCAAAATATAAAACATGAACATATGGGCATTCAACATATGTGCATTTCTAATTTACAAAATTATTTTATTTTATTTTGTACCTATTCTGTTTCTCAGTGTGACTTTAAACTTATTTTTTCAACACCTCTCTCAGAATTTAGCTAATGTTTTTATAAGTTTGTTCAGTGTTTTTGTGAAAACATAAAACTTAAAACACATAAATGCTGGTTTCTACTGCCCTCTTGTGTAGAAATAAGTGGATACCAATTCAGCTTAATTTTACACTTTGCATTTGATTTTTCTATTTTAGGATTTACATTATCTCAACTAATGCTTTAACAATTATCTTTATGCTTCTTGAATCTTGTAACATGACATTGCTAAACAGCTATTGTTGTTAACTCAGAATTCTCTATTTTATCAAAGTATTCACCATTCATAGGAATATTATGTGAGAAACATCAACGTGAATGTTAAATTACTGCCAGGTGCTGTATGCTGTATTTCAGAGGAAGGAACTGGCAAAATGACCTGTACGTCTTCCTTGCCTAAGAAAACCTCATGCAATTCATGGGGTTTTCTTAAGGAAGGAAGACATATACCTTATTTTCCTGCGTATAAGACTACTTTTTAACCTGCAAAATCTGTGGTTAAAGTGGGGGGGGGGTCGTCTTATACGCCGGGTATAAGGATTAGGAGGATAGAGGTGCTAAAACTCTATATTTTGACTGGAAAAATGGGGGGTCGTCTTATACGCTGGGTCGTCTTATACGCCGGAAAATACGGTGAGTCATTTTGCCAGTTCCTTCCTCTAAAATACAGCACCTGGCAGTAATTGGCAGTCTCCCATCCTGTGCTAACCAGGGCTAACCCTGCTTAACTTCCAAGATCAGACAGGTTCTGGTGCCTTTAAGGTATTTAGGTCCTTACACCTATCTTGCTGTTGTTGTGTGCCTTCAAGTCATTTTTAAATTTTCATCACCATAAAACCCTACTAAGGAGTTTTCTAGACCTGACTGTGTGTGGCTCGCCCAAGGTCACCCACTGAGTTTCCATGGCCAAGAGGGGAGTCCAGCACTCAAACCACCACAACACACTGGCTCTCTACATCTATCTAGCATAACCTATTTAAATCTCTTATCAGCATCTGGGTTGTTTAGTATCAGGAACAGCACAGCTTGAAGGCTATAGTTGCAGTCTTCTGCAGAGCAGTCTGATTTCAGCCTCTCCTTGGCTTCTTTTATTCTCTCTCTAATCTCTGCCCAGACTATCAGCTGTGCTATCTTGTCCAATGAGATAAGTGAACTCTAGTGGATTCCTTTTGTGTCAAAAATACTTTTCTCCAATCAGATTGTGGGAGAGAATATAAACAAACCATGCATAGTTAGATCTAGGCTTTTGGCAGTCATCCATCTCAACTACATCAGCCATCATGGCACCTGCTATGGATTGATTCTCATTCATGTCTTGTGGACGTTCTGTTTCCTTGTTTACAATTGAGCAGGGGTTCTGCCCAGAATTAGACTGTCACTGGGTTCATAATAATGCTCACACATTTTAACATAGAAATGAAACCGATGGGCAGGAAGGAGTGGCCAGAAGCCGCTCCCAGCCTGATTGCCACGAGACCATGGCCGCCACTTGCCACGGTCCCAAGGAAGCCTGCTGCTCTGGTTCCAAATGGACTATGGAAAGGAGTGGAAAAGATCCGCTCCCTTTCAGGCTGGTTTTGGGCCACCTTGGGTGGTCCTGCAGCAGCTTCCAGGCACTCCAGGGGCTTGCATTGTGTAAACACCATGCTCCCAGAGCGGCCAGAAGCCCCCCATCTGCCTATCTGCTTTGTGCCACACAAAGCCATCTACCTTCTATTTTATACTTTATCGTTTATACTTTACAGTCTATAGCAGGAGTAGGCAACCTAAGGCCCGGAGGGGGGGGGGCGAATGTGACCCCCGAGGCCTTTGGACCGGCCCCTGGCCGGTCCTGCCGCCGCCGCCGCCACCACCCACCATGATGATATTGATTATTGTTGTTATTACTTGTTCTTGGGGTTTTCTTGGCAAAATCTCTACAGGGGTTTTGCCACGGCTTTTCTGGGGCTGAGAGAGTGTGCATGCATATTTTTTTAATTTTTAATTTATTTATTTATTTATTTATTTTTGGTGCTTCGGCCCCCCAATTGTCTGAGGGACAGCAACCCGGCCCCTGGCTCAAAAAGTTTGCCTAACCCTGGTCTATAGGTTATACCTATTACACTATGGGCCTTTGAAGATGGGCGGCTCTGGGCTGCCCCGGGAAGTGGTGGATCGAGGAGGCAGCACACCATAGCCCTGATCCTCCCTTTTGCTGCCCCGAAAAGAGCAGCAAAAGGCCGCCTTAAGAACTGGCGCACGGCTCTTCAGTGTCCTTTTCAGTGCAGCGTGTTTGAATGCTGAGCTGGAAGGAAGTCCTGACGCCACACGCCATATGTAACACTGCACAGCATCAGGATAGCATCAGCGTGGGGTTGGGGCGGCTGGCGTGCGGCTGACCCCACCCCAACTCTGCCTCCAGGCCGGCCCCTTGGGCCAGTCTGCAGAGGCCCTATATGTACATTCCAGGCCTCAAAGTTGGCAACGAAATCAGCCTTGTCTGTAACAGTGGGTTCACTCCACTCCCAGAGAGACAGTCCCACTGTCATATGGGAGCCATGTACCATTGCTAGATTTTTCTGCATTCAAAGCAAAGTATGAGGGGGTATTGTAAAGTTTTAATTACCACCTTCAAATTTTTTTGACATAAAGTTTTGATTTGTAGTTGTTAACTTATCTCTAGGTAGTAACAATCCAGATTTATACATTTTCCACAGTGTTTCTTGACCCTCTGAATACCGTTATTGTAGAAGTCTACAGACTGTGCCTTAAACCACTCTTCCATTTTATGAATGATGTCATCTGTGTTGTCAAATTGGTGACCCCACAATGGAATTTTCATTTTTAGGAAAAGAAAATGTCACTTGGTGATGATGACACTGACAAAATTTCATCAATATACCATACTAACTTCCAGGAGATAATTATTACTTTACAATACCCCCTCGTACTTCTCCATCTTACACTTCTGGCACAATCTGGAATAAAAATAAATGACACAATGATCTGGTTTTCTCAACATCATGCACTTAGGGACCAATGATGACACTGGCAAAATTTCATCAATATACCATAATAATTTTCAGGGAATAATTATTACTTTATGATACCCCCCTCATACTCCACTATTGAACATATCGCCTTTGCTTGCTTCTTTCTTTCTTTCTTTCTTGCTTGCTTGCTTGCTTGTTATTTATTATGTAGGCCACTTAAGAAGCTAATGTTGCAAGCAATAGACCAAGCCATCATTGGAATATTATTCACATATAATGTCCTAAAAACATGCTTATGAAAGCAAATATGCATTGTGTTCCAACCACTTTCAGCACCTTGGCAGTAATACTACTGTGTACTGCATTGTTCAGAAACAGCTAAAATTACAGTCTCAAAAATACAATACATGAATCCTAAGAAAATTCATTCCAACGTTCTTTCTTTTTAAATTACTTATCAGATGAAATGGAAAAGCTGAGAAAGTATGATATATTATTGGCATTTAAAATTTAATCTAAGTATGATAAACATGAATGTTGATAAAGAGAAAACAACCAAACTAATATATGATATCAATAATATTTCTTGTTACGGTATCTGTCTTATTCTTCCACTGTTCTTACTATAGAGGAACAATTGTTTCAATATACAATAGCTATTCTTTGGATAAGAATTATCTTCCATATTCTGACTTTGTATCATCATTATGGTAGGGCCCTATCACATACTCTTTATTTAGTTTTAAAACTCATATGCTGCTTTTGCAGGAAAAGATCTAGTAAAGCCCATGTAGTGGAGCCCAGGGTTTGAATCCTGGCTCAGCCATGGAAACCCACTGGCTGACCTTCCACTGGCTGACCTTGGTCAAATCACACTCTCTCAGCCTGACAGGAAGGCAAACCCTCTCTAAAGAAAGTTATCAATAAAACCCCATGATAGGTTTGCCTTAGGGTTGGCATAAGTTGGAAAAACCTACAACAAGAAAAACAATATGCACATACAGATACATGCACCCATTCGTCAAATGTGGAGCAGTAGCAATGGAACAAGAATGAGCAAGATTGCCACCTTGAGTCCCATATAAGTAAAATAAAATAAAATGTAAAATAAAATAAAATAGAATGAAATATAGATCAATAAATAAATTGCCATTAGCAGCTGAGAAACAATGCTCTTGAGCAGAATCACTGAGAGGAAGAGGTTACAGCCCCAACAATCCTTACCAAGATTTGGGAGAGTGGAAAGACGTTTTAATCTAGTGGCCCCTCTCCATAATCTTGATGCAGGCAACAGGGTTATTTCCCCCAAATCTACCTGTCCACCAACCCCAATGATGGCTGCTTGAATGGACAGAGAGGAAAATTGGACGGGGTTACGTGGGTCACTGAGAAAGCAGGAAAGGATATCACTTGGCTCCCTATCTCCCCACCAGTGATTTGGGGCTTTCTAAGTAGGAAACAGAGACCCAGTGTGACATAGTGGTTTCAGTGTTGGACTATGACTCTGGACTCCTGGGTTTGATTCCCAGCTCAGCCATGAAACCCACTGGGTGACCTTGGGCAAGGCACACTCTCTCAACCACAGTAGAAGGCAATGAGAAACCTTCTCTGAACAAATCATGCCAAGAAAACCTCTTGATAGGTTCTCTTTAGGGTCACCATCAGTTAGAAACGAGTTGAAGGCACACAACAACAACAAAGTAGGAAACAACACTTTGAATTGTTAGCCATTAAGAAATGCAGTGCATATGACTGAGAGCTATTAAAAACAGCTTAACTAAAAACATCATGTAGTAATAAAGCAACAGACATGAATCAAGTGAGAATGTCACCTGCACAGTTAGCTGCAACACATTCAGACTGACTGCAAAGATTTGTTTTGTTGCCTTAGCAAACAAATCTGTTTGATAGGTAACAATGATCACAGTTGGACAGCAACTAGTAAATTTTCATATAAATTCTTTTTACTTGCAGAAATTGCCAAAATCTTCTCTGAGAACTTCTCTGTGGCATTTTGCTATACGGGGCAAAACAATAAATTATGCAAAGTATCCTTTATGTCTATCACATGGCAGGGCTCTCAAACATGACTGAGGGCCTCTACAGACGGCACTTTGCGCCATCTTGGAGGCAGGGAAGGGGAGGGGCAGCCACACAACGGGTGCCCCAACCCTCCCTGAGGATGTCATGATGGCGCACGCCATTACGCATGGCATGCGCCATCAAGATGTCCTTCCGCACTGTCCAGAAGAGACGCAGAATAGTCGCATGGCAGCTCTTGATGCGTTCCTTCTGCCGGCTCCGAAAGGAGTGGCATTTTAGCGCTCCTTTCAAGGCCGGCAGAAGGGAGGATTGGGGCCAAGGCGTGGGGTAGCCTGAGCCCCAATACTCCGCTTCCCAGTCCATGTACATTCCCCTTGTATCTTTAATTCAAGAACACTGCAGCCATGATTTAAAAGCCTATTTCTGTGACAGCAATTCTTAATGAAGCAATATTAAGTTTGTAGATACTAAACTCCTGCATGGTCTTTTAACAATCTTTTTAAAGGAGTGGGGCTTCCAAGGCTATGGCCAATATATTTTCCTCTCCTTAAATTTTGAGAAAGTTCCAGCACAAACCTCAGTATCATATTGGATTTGAGCAGCAAGTTAAGAAATTTCTCTCTCTTCCCCTCCCATCTAGTAACTCATCATTCTCCCAGTATGAGACCCAAAGGACCCATTAACTTTTCTCCTTTAAAATAATTTCAAGTTAACATTACTTGTCTGTTATATGGTTGCCTCAGCGTTTTGGAGCTGAATCTTGCAATAATCTATCCTATCTAATTATATGGGAAGGGGGAACTGTGCTCTGAATACTTCTCACCTAGCTTCCAGTTATGCTTTCAGGGATACTAAAAACTATTCTTAGATTCACCATAGTTAATTATAAATAGGTCTATTCAATAAAAATCATACAGTTAATTAAAGCAGTATCTTATCTGAATCTTCGTAATCATAAGCAATACAAAAACAATTCCATATATATATCACAGTTTTATGGTTACACATTGCAAAGGGGAAATGTTCGTTAAGAATATTGTATCAGAAATAGAGACATGGAAATTGGACAAAAGCAAAGACATAATTCCTCTGTTTGTACAACATCCTCCAGCAATCTCCCATTTGTATAGCCCTTACTCTTACAGTTGTATTTGTATACTATTCCTGATTAAAGAACAACAGTCTCTTGTTTCCTCTAAGGCAGGGGTAGGCAACCTAAGGCCCGGGGGCCAGATGCGGCCCCCTGAGGCCTTTGGACCGGCCTCAAGCCAGTCCTGCCGCCGCTGCCATGATAATATTGATTATTGTTGTTATTACTTGTTC